CCCCTCAATTTCATAAACCTCTGTAGCACAGGAATAGGAATTAATTAGTCAAAGTTGCCACCATGCTCCCTACATTATTCCCATTTTATCTATCTTAAATAACCACAGCTAGCATTAGCTGCTTCCAAAAATATTTTTTCAACTAGACCAGCTTTCATTACATCATAGCTCCATACAATGCATTTAAAATCCACAGGCCCTCACATGTTTACATACCAAAAGTACCCATGTCTCATTTTTGCCTATCATCTAGTCCAACCTGTTGCTGTTAGTCTTGATTTCCCCAGTCTTTTGGGCACTTTAATCCTAGTCTCTAATTTGTCATCTGAGCACTCATCTGTTATATTATTTTAAGCACTGCCCACATTTACTCTGTTGGAAAAAAAAGTTAACATAGACTCCACCTTAGGTCAGCAGGAACCAATTTATCTTGAACAGATTCCATTCTCCAGTGTCCTCCAATACTGAACGGGCTTTGGATGTGAACTACAAGTTTGTTCATCGATAAACACCAAAACAAACCCAAATTGCATCTTTAAATCATTTCTATATCAAAGTTACAAATAGTACAAATATAAACAAATATATTTACATCACTTTTACACACACTTAAAAAGACACCACTATCAAGCAGCATTTGCTCAGAAATAACTAGTTCACACATACTTATGTTGGATTCTAACCATAGTCACTCAGTTCCTGAGCTCATTAAAGCAGTGGTCCAAACATAGACAACACAGCTGAAATCCAGAGATGAGGGTAACTGACCTTGACATCAATGCAACATTTGACCAAACAAGGCATCAAGGAGCCTTAGTGAATCTGCGGTCAGTGGGAATCAGGGGGAACTCCCAACAGGAGTCATTGAGCATAAAGATGGTTGTGGTGTTGGGCAGTTCAGGGCATCACGTTAGGAGCTCCTCAGCTTAGTGTCCTAGGGCCAACCATCTTCAGCTGCTTCAATGACACTCTTTCCACTACAAAAGTGGGCATATTCACTGATGATTGCACAATGTTTAGCACCCCTCATGACAACTCCCAAACGGAAGCAGTTTGTGTCCAAATACAGCACGACTTTGTCAGCTCAAGCCTGGATGTGGTCTAAGTGATCAATAACAACATTTATGCCACATGTGTCAGGGAACAACTCTCACAAAAATCACAATTTAAGGCAATACCATCACCGAATCATCGATTAATATCCTGTGTGTTGCAGTGACCAGAAATTGAAATAGATCAGATAAGTAAGTGATCTCAGGGTAGGAATTCTGAAACAAGTATTCAGCTCTCCACAACTCAAAGCCTGTCCAAAATCTAAAAGAAACTAGTAAGGGATGCAATGGAATACTCTTTGCTTAGCTGAATAGATGCAGCTCCAAAAACAAATTAAGCTCAGACAAGACAAAGCAGCCAACTTGATTGGCATCCCCTCTACCATCTTCAACATTCATTCCCTTTACCACCATCATACTGTGGCTGTGGCTGTGGCAGCGGCAGCAGCAGCAACATGCACCATTAACAAGGTGCATGCAGTAACTCCAGCCTCTTAACAGCATATTCCAAACCCACCTTAGAAGGACAAGGGCAACAAATGCAGTGGGAACACCACAATCTGCAAGCTCTCCCTCCAACCACACATTATCTTGACTTGCTCCTTCAATCACTTGGGCAAAGTCCTCAAATCTCCCTTCCGAACAGCATTGTGGCTATCCCCGTGGCAAAAGTGCTACAGTGATTGAAGGAGGTTATTAGGGATGGGCAATAAATGCTGGCCTAGTCAGTGACACACATTCCATGCAATTAATAAAAACTAAAATGCATTTGACGTGGTCAAATTGCCATTGCTATCAAATGTCAGAGTCATCTTCAACGAGTTGCACGTTATTGTAACTAATACCTCCAAAGAAAAGGGAAAGGCGATGGCCTAGTGGTATTATTGCTAGGCTATTAATTCAAGCAACTCAGGTAATGTTCTGGGAACCCGGTTCAAATCCAGCAGTGGGAGATGGTGGAATTTGAAAACAATAAAACCATTAGAATTAGGAGGAGAGAGTGTACTGACAACCGTGAAACCATTACTGAACGTCAGAAGATGCCTGTGGCTCACTAACACCCTTCAGGGAAGGGAATCTGCCATCCTTAACTGGCTTGGACTAAGTGACTCCAGATCCACAGCAATATGGTGAACTCTCAACCGTCCTCTGAAGTATCTTGTCAAGCTACTCAATTGTCTCATTACGAAGTATCAAAGAAATTAAACTAGACAGACCACCTGACACCTTGACCCGGGCACCGGGAAAGATAACAGCAGAAACAACCCTGTCGATCCTGCAAAGTTCTCTCCACTAACATCTGGGGGCTGGTGCCAAAGCTGGGAAAGCTGTTTCATAGCCTAGCTCAAGGAACAGCATGACTTGGTCATACTCTCAGAATCACAGCTTACGACATACCAGACACCATCATCACAATCGCTGGATATGTGTTGTCCCACCAGAAGGACTGACCCAGGAGGTGACAGCACAGTAAGGAGGGAGTTGCCCTGGGCATCTGAAACATTGACTCTGGACCCCATGAAGTCTCATGGCTTCATGTTAAAAGTGGGCAAGGAAACTTCCTGCTTTTTATCATGTACTGTCTTCCCTCGGCTGATGAATCAGTATTCCTTCTTTGAATAAGGCTTACAGGAAGCACAGAGTGGCAAAGGTGCAAAACATACTCTGAATGGGAGATTGTGTTCACCAAGAGTGGCTCAGTAGCAGCTCTACTGATCAAGCTGGTTGGGTCCTAAGGGCCATAGCTATCAAACTGTTTCCTCACCGCTTGCCACAGACCCAAAACAGGAGGAAAAAACATACTGGACCTCATCTTTGCCGAACTATCAGCTGCAGAAAAATACTGTCCGTCATCAAAAGCAGAACCTGCAACCTCATGGCCAAGCACTCAACCATTACCACCAAGCCAGGAGACCAACCCTGCTCAATGGAAAGTGCAGATGGGCATACCAGGAGCAGCACCAAGCATATGTAAAAACGAGGTGTCAACCTGGTGAAGCTAGCAAAAGCAGTTCTACTTGCAAGGCAAAACAGCATAAACAAGTGATAGAGCTAAGCAATCCCACAACCAATGAATCAGATCTAAGCTCTGCCACATTCAGTCGTGAATGGTGAAGGACAATGAATAACTCACTGGAGACAGCTCCACAAGATATCCCCATCCACAAATGATGGGGGAGCCCAACACATCAGTTCAAAAGATAAGGCTGAAGCATTTGCAATGATCTTCAACCAGAAATGTCGATGATCCACGTTTAACTCCTTTTCTGGTCCCCAGCATTACAGATACCAGTCTTCAGCCAATTTGATCCACTCCACGTGATATCAAGAAATGCTTGGAGACACTGGATAGTTCAAAGGCTGCGGGCCCTTACAACATTCCAACAATCACACTGAAGGCTAGAACTTGCTACTCTCCAAGCCAAGCTCTTCCAGTTACAATACTGGCATCCACCCAATAAAATGTGGAAAGTTGCCCAGGCATGCTGTATGCAAAAGCAGGATAAATCTAACCCAGCCAATTATCACCTCACACTACTCTCTATCAGAGAAGTGACAGAAGATGTCACCAACAACACTATCTCGCATCACCTGCTCAGCAATAACCTGTTCAGTGACACCCACTCAGCCCCTGACTTCATTACAGCCTTTCAAAAATGGAAAGGCCAGAAGCAAAATTGGAATCAACATGTATCCAGGGACAAACTTCCCACTTGGAGTCATACCTGGCACGCAAGATGGTGGTAGTGGTTGTTGGAGGTCAGTCTTCCCAGCCCCAGGGCTACTCTGAAGAAAATCTGCAGAGATGTGTCCTAGGCTCAACCATTTCCAGCTGTTTCTTCAATGATCTTCCTTCCAAAAAAAGGTCAGAAGTGAGGATGTTTGCCGATGATCGCAGAATGTTCAGCAGCATTTGCTACTCCTCAGATACCAAAGCAGCCAATGTTCAAATGCAACAAGATCTGGATGATATCCAGGCTTGGCTGACAAGTTGCAAGTAGCATCCATGCCACAAATGCCAGGCAATGTGCATCTCCAATAAGTCACATAAACTAACTACTACCCCTTGACATTTAATGGCATTACCATCACTGAATCCTCTATCATCATCCTTGGAGTTACCATTGATCAGAAACTCAACTGGACTCACCACAAACACAATGGCTACAACATCATCAGTTAACACAGCAGGAAAGTAAACCAAAACAAAAAATAAAACAAACAAAATAAAGGGTTAGAATTATGCAGTATTTAAAGTGATCAAAAACATACAACCATCACATTGGCATTACTTAGACTGCTCAGTTATTCCAGTTGCTTACTAAGTTTCACCAATTTGAAAATTTAGGTAGAAATTGGAAAGAAGATTTAATCATGCAATTTAGGCACCAGTAATTTCCTGCATAAAAGAGAGACTACCATTGCACCATACAAAAAAAAAAAATCTATTTCTCCATGACACCGGTTTTTTCCTTGGCCAAACGTGATTATGATTTAAATCAATTGTGATTTTATGACCTGGACAAATATTGAGTTAACAATTTTAGAATGACATGGGTTTTGTTTTAAAAACCCAAGTTCCAATTACACTTTAATCTCAAATAAATTAACATGACTGTACACCATGTCTGGGCATAACATTGACCTGGCACAAGAGATCTCTCAGTGGCTCACTTAGCAACAAATTTTACAATTCTTATGCAGTAAAATGTTAAAAAGAGGAACAGCAACAGAATTAAATCAGAACTTTTACAAAGACATGTTTATCAAGACAGGGACAAATCACTTTACAGTTACATAGCAAGAACTGCTAAAATGTCTGCTACTGAAGTCTAAAGTCAAAGTGTTATTTGTGTATTCACCAAAGAATATGTAAACTACAAAGGCAGTGGCCACTACAATGGAGCCAAGTAAAATGAATTTTAGCTATAATGCATATGCACATACCTTGTTTCAATGAGGTATACTGTATAAGTCTCCTGCATGTTTACCGCATTTTTTCCTGTTCTTTTTTCCGCTTCTGACACACTGATCTCCATTTTCTTCAATAAGCAGCTTTTGTCTTCCATGATCTATTTATTTAGAAATAAAACTGGACAATATTAATATTGTTTCCTTATTTATATATTGTACAAAGGTAATAAAACAGGAGCATAAAGAAAAGTTAGAATGCAATACACAAATAAACAATTGGACAAATGCCTTAGTCATAAATCTTAAACAGCATCTTGAGGGAAGAATACCTGGACCAAAGAGGCTAGGCAGCTGAAAGCACAGCCAGCAAAATAAGAACCATAATTAGGTAAGAGCAGATAACTGATGGTTGTAGACTAGTGAACGTTAAAGAGACAGGGAGGGGGGCAAGGTCATGGGAGGAATCTGAAAACAAGGATGGGAATTTTAAATACAATCTTCACTTAATCTGAAGCCAATACAGATGGAGAAAGGTATCAGTGAGGTAGAAATAGTTCTGACTGCTGACAACGCTTAACACTGATTTCAGATGATGTTGTTGAGAAGCCACACATGGATGCAAAAGAGCAGAACATTTTACAAACGGAAATGTATGTGAGAAAGGTAGAAAAGCCACTTCAAGTGATTCATTGGCTATAATTATATGGAAAATAATGGAGCCAGCGAATTGCATTCCTACCCAGCTAAACAACAGTGGGGAAGCATGGATTAGAATGGTGGGGTCATGGAAGAGTTGTTCAGAGAGGAGTAACATCACTAGACTAGTGATCTAATAGCCCATGCCAATGGTTGGAGAACATGACTCAACTCCATCCATAATAGCTGGAGGAATTTAAATTCAATACAAAATATCTGGAATTGAAAACTAGTAATGATGTCTATATCAATTATCACAAAAAATCCATCTGGTTACTAATGTGCTTTTAAGAAAGGAAATCTGCAGTTCATATCCAGTCTAGCCGATATGACTTCAAAACCATAGAATCACAACCTCACCAAGGAGGCCACTCAATTCAAATGACAATTAGGAATGGGCAACAAATATTAGCTTTTCAGGTGATGCCCACACCACAAGAATGAATAAGTATCAACCATGATAAAAACAAATTGCTTGAAAAGCTCAGCAGGTCTGGCAGCATCTGTGGAAAGAAATCAAAGTTAATGTTTCAGGCCAACTAACCCTTCCTCAGAACTGGGTTCTGTGGTGGGTGAAGGAAATGGATGTAAAGCTGGACTGTCAGTAGTTTAAGAGATTAATGTCAAAAGGTGGAGCTCAAAGAACAGGATGGGTAGGGAAAAAACAAACAAACACAGAGTTCAAAGCAAGGGCATGAGGAAGTTTGGCCCATGCATTTTCATCCTTTTGTATAGAGAATTGCTACTGCCTGCAAATATTGCCCAATGAAGTTTTCAAAAACCCGATTATCATTCCTCATTTTGCAGCCATATCAAGCATAGCGAGAAGTGATATGGAGCAAAAGGGTAGCCAGTATGTGCAAGTATAGTTCCTGTAGGACCGTGTTCAAATAACGACCGGAAAAAGAAAAAACGGTGAGTGGCGAAAACTAGCCACTTTATTAAGCATCCGCAGTAGCACAGCTCAAGGCAGTGATGGAATCCAAAGTACAGTGCTTACAGTAGCATCTTTATATACAGTTCTTACATACATGAAAATTCTAGCACTATGGTGTTAAATAATTGTATCTATTGTACAGAAGCATTTGCATGACATCTGCCCTAGGAAAGGAGATGGTTTAAACATTTGCTAAATGTCGGCTGTTACTCTTGACAGGATTAGAACATCTGTCCAGTCTTCTTGTATAATCAAGAGGTGTTAGCCCTTAAAATTAGTAAATGTTAGTTAAAATAGACCACATATGATCTAAATAATGGAGAAATTACACATGTACTCATTAAAAGGATAGAGGATATTAATCCGATTACCACAGCTGGGTCGTGAGATTTTATTTACTATTACTGGTTTTGACCATTCTTACACATTCCTTCATGCGGTTTCATGGAAGTGCCGTTTCGTTAGTAACTTTCTTAAAGGGGTTGGTGGCCTTATTTAGTATGTATTTAACCGGTACATGCTAAAAACGGAGGAAACTTGACATTCTGCAACCTATTCAAGTCCTGAGGGACGGTTGCTAAGGTGCTGATTAATATTAGAAACATTCCATAGTTTTGGGTGAGTCATGGAGCCACGATGGCATTGTTCTGAATAGGTTACAATACTAACATCGATTCAGGGGTGGCCTTTATATAGAATCTGGTCTACACACTGCTTGCAGCATTGAGCATAGCACTGAAGGTGTAAAGAAGCAGTAATGGGTTGGAAGGCATGTATCGATTTAGTCTCTCTTGTACGAGTAAAATGTACTACAAAATTTATGAATGACTGACTGAAAGAAACATAGCACAATAAACAGTGTGCTGGTTAGTAAAAAAAAGAGTTATGAATGAATGAGAACACAGTATTAGTAAATATACAGCGCATGTGAGCAGGTTGGTAACAAGACCTATAATACAATATCTCACATTCCAATGGACATAGGATGACTTCATTTTTGAAGTTTAGGCAAAAATGATCTTGGCTGGATCATTGTATTTTTTCCCACAAGTACCAGCTAAAAAACATTGGAGATTAAAAAAAAATTACACCAATGTAATAGCTGAAAAGTTTACACTGGACACATAAAATAGACTATAATATTGTGATGTATTACACATCACAATCATTTAAGTACGCCATATACTGGGTTAGAATAAACATTATCAACACCAAAATGGCATGGCAAACCATTACTCAAATGGTATCAAACACTACAAAGTCACAAAAAAAAATTGAGAGCGAACGGTCAATCTGGCATCGACCCAGGAAATGGAAATAACAATGGCAGAAACAGAGGGGAGATGACAGCCTAGTGGTATTAAAATCACCAGACTATTAATCTAGAGACCAAGGTAATGTTCTGGGGACCAGGGTTCAAATCCTGCCCAGGCAGATAATTGAATTCGATTTCAATGAAAATTTGGAATTACCAGTCTAATAATGATCAAGAAACCATTATCATGTTCATGCTTCTGACCAGTGACAGGCTGTGTCATACTTTGCGAACCAACTTTAACTCACTTGCATAGATGAGTTTTTGCTGACATTGTCCCCCTAGTTAAAATGCAATAAAAGGGAAACAACTAATAAATGTCTGAAAAACAAAAAACTAAAAATCCTGAAAAAAAGACATGACGACAAGATAAAAAGAAAACGTGAAGAGTGGGATTTGGAGAAATTGTTTCAGGGTTTATTTTCATATTGGATCTATTCTCAATCAAACTCTTTTGAACTGTGAAAGCACATTACAGAAAGACAATTTCCACTGGCAAAAATCACACAAGGAGATTCGACTGGGAAGACCACATCCTCTCAAATTGAAAACAAAAAAGTGTGTCACTGGATTATTAGTCTCAAAGCCTGAGCTAATGTTCTAGGGATATGGGTTCAAATAGGCATCTAGTGAAACGTAAATTAAGTTGCTAAATCTGAAATTATTGACAGCGAAACCATTCATCAGTACTATCTATTAAGGAAGGAAACCTTCGATCCCTACTTGGTCTGGCCTAGATGCAACTCCAGATCCACAAACATGGTCAACTCTCAATGGCCCTCTGAAATAGCTGAACTTTAAAGGGAAATTAGGGACAAGAAACAAACGCTGATTTTACCACTGACATATCCGTACGAAACAATATATTGTATGTAGATCCAGATTGATTAGAAAATGCCCTGCCATTCATATCCTTTCCCATTAGACATTACATAATCCACGTAAATTACTAATCCCATTACATTCTATTCTTACTGTTGCTTCCACATCTAAACATGTGAACTGCACAAACACAAACATATTTTGTTAATGAGAGATAGTATGAAGTTTCCAACCACTGTGTTAGATGGGTGAATACTGTAAACATAAGCTAAATATACACAGATGTAGGTAGGACGAGACTGGACAAGAAAACAAGACACAAAAATGTTTTCCATGAAGCAAAAACTGGATAAAGCGGCAGGAAACCAGGTAATTCCTCCAGCCTATTCCCACGAAATTTCTGGATTAACCAACTTCCCTTCCTGATCCACACATTAGTCAATATTAAATTTTAATTCATTCACAAGATGTTGTTACTGCCAGCTGCACCAGCCTTTATTGCCCATCCTTAATTACCCTGGAGAAGATGGTGAACTACCTTCTTGAACCACTGCAGTACAATGGCTGTTGGAAGAGCCACAATCTGTGTTAGGGACAGAGCTCCAGGATTTTGAAGCAATGACAAAGAACAAAAATTCACCCAAATCTGGATGGTGAGGGGCTCGGAGCGGGTCTTGCAGGTGATTCTTTTCCCATGTTTCTGCTGCCCTTGCATTACCAAGGTTGGAACGAATGGCACTCCCCACTATACAACCCAAACTCTGGGTCCACTATGCAGATGGCACCTTTGCGATAATCAAACGTACATGACTAGAAGAAACCCACTGACACAAACAACATCCTCATTGGAATAAAATTCACAAAAAGAGAACAATAACCGACTACCCTTCCTAGAGAGAATGGTAGAACACAAGAACAAAGGGGAACTCCAGACTAGCATATACAGAAAGACCACACATGGACCAGATACTTAATTACGCCAGCAACCACGCCAACATCCATAAACAGAGCTGCATCAGGACATCATTCAAATGGGCCACAACACACTGCAGCAACCTGGAATTGCACAAAGTGGAACAGGAACACTTAAAATGGAGGAGTTTTTAATAAAAAGGAATGAATACCCAAAAAGCACAATCCACCGTTACCTCCGTGACAGACCACAACACGGCCAGACACACTAGTCACAGTAAGTACAGAGACATATCGGATAACCACAAGACTACTCAACCCCTAGGTATCAGGGTAGCCTACAAACCAACAACCACACTGCAACAGCTACTGACGAACATAAAAGGATCACATACCCACAACCAATAAAACTAACATAACACACAAAAATACCATGCAAAGACTGAAAGAAAAACATTACATTGGCCAAATTGGAT